AAGGGGGTTTGACAAGGAAATCACTGAATGGGACGAGTGAGTACGAATTGATGGGGGATTCCTCTTAAACCTTCGTTTCGCGGACGACATTGTTTTTTCTCGAGGAATATCACTGCAGCGGAGACGGTGCTGAAAGAACTAGACGAAGTAGGGAAGCGGTTAGGAATGCGAATTAACCGGAAGAAGAGTCAGTCATGAAGATCTCCTTTTGTAAGGATTAGGAAATAATTAGAAGGCTCTCCAGTTGCAAAGACGTCTTCTTAGGTATAAATTGGGCGCTCGAGGGATATGCAGAGCGATTTGAAAGAAGAATTCAACAGGAGCGAAGAATAGCTTGGGCCGCTTTTGGGTTCCTCAAAGAAGGTACAGCCAGCTGACGGAACCAGAGCTCCAAGCCCACCTGTTCGATTCAACCGTTCTCTCTGCGCGCTGTTACGCAGCAGAGATGTGCCCTGACATTGTGGCTACGTCAAAGGCTCTTCGAACAACCCACAGAGCTGGAACGACGCTGAAGTACAACCGACTCACTCAACATCTCGTCTGACTTCGCAGTTCAGATATAAGATTAGTGTCTCGTCGCGATCCAGCGGAATACGTCTCTAAGGCAAAACATGATGGACTGGTCACATGATGAGAAGTAACAGATAACAGAGACATTCAGAAGTTTGGAATGGATCTCTCGTGAAGCAAAACGTCCTCGAGGAAGGCCACCGACCAGATGGGCTAATGTGTTCGTTGCACGGATGGACCAGCTGAATTCTCAGCTGGTAGCGAGTAATGGATCTGAACCTCACGAATGTCGCCGCAGTTCCATACCAACATCGTGGATGACTCTAGCGAGAGACAATAGGGATGAAAACAATGCTAAGGCCTGCACGACGAATGGAGTCTGGCCATCTAAGTATCTAAAAATAAGTAAGTAATGATAGCCCACTCTGTGACTGAACCATTCCCGTAGTTCAAGCGACTGATTCGCTGTGGTAAGAACCCCTCCGGACGTTTAGGTCACTCCGTTCACTTCAGTCGCTCCTCCCACTCAGTAATTTCCTCCAGCGCCGCCAGTGTTTGGTTTCTTTGAAAGAGTGCTCTTAAGTGAGAAAGGCATGCGGTCATTTCGCAACCAAAAAAATTGAAATTGCTCACTACCACTCGTCCCTGTCAATCCAGAATCCCAGATCGCTGTTTTATGACAATCACGGTGATTGAAATTGCTATCAGTGTTCAGCCACATCAAAATGGTCCGGAAAAAGTGAGAAACCCAGAGTCAATTTGCCCAGAGGCACTTTTTAAGGTTCATTATGGAGATTTAGTATGATGAATTCACATTAACAGAAGAATTTATGCTATATAGATAATGCAAATTATGCAGGATCCATAACTAATACTTGCTACGAATATTTTCATTCGGCTTGAAATAGTATATATGCAAAAGAATAAAAGATATCTTGATTCTTTAAACACAACTTGTTGAATCTGCTTGATGGATAATTTCTTGAATGTTTTGATTTTTTCAACCTATTATTGAAAGCATATTGTTTTGTCTAGCATTAATCAAACAAAAATGTAGCAAGGTTTCTACAAATTTTAGCAGAAATTTCAGCTACTTACCTTCCCGAGCATGGAGCTAATAAAATCAGGCAATCGCTGCAGTCATCAACAGTGATCGTAGAAGTGTGATCAAGCACCAGAAGATTACTATTCTAAAAATTTAATTCAATAAACAATTAAGTAGTTTGGAATAAATATTCTCACCTTGCAACTTTCGATCGCCATGGGTTGTCCAGCTACACCTCGACGAACTTCTGTAGCATCTTCGAGGTCATGGATACGGTACTTATCTATGTCCATTCGTGGACGGCGATCCCTATAATGATACGAACATTTAGTTGAAGAAAAAGATACATGCCTTTGACTGCTTTTCTAAGTGAAAACTTCTGTCATGTCTTTTAAAATAAAAGTGAAGTAAAACAGAAGTGGAATATGTTTCAAACGTTTGCTATAGCGTACTGTAAGAGGAACATTGAAAAATCGACAAAATTGCTGGATTTGACGTAATTTCTGGTTTAGTTCAGGCACAAAACGTCTTATTAGAAATAATGCGCAGTTACATAATGCCTAGCTCATGCTGTGTTAGCTATTATTTTAGCTGATTAGTGACAGACTTATGCAAAGTGAGCGTGTTCTAGGCTACTCCTGCATGCTATGGCTTCTCTTCAATACAATCTTTTTAGGCAACAAAAACGATTTCAGAAAGCTCCTCTCATTGACCGGTAACTCCTCGTAATGGTAGCGCAACGAATGAGGTTTGTAGAGCTAGAAATCGCTTTGAAATACTTATTTCGACAGAAAATATAATCCTAAATAATAACCCTACAAGAAGCGCGA